CGGTTTCCTCGACCACCGGGACCACGCGGGTGTCCACCACCACCACCACCACGTGGAGCACCCCCTCGAACTGCTGGAGTAGCAGGGGCAGCAAACGCTTGATGAACAGGAGCTGATTCCTGGGCTTGAAAGAAAAGATTGCGTTGCTCCTGTGCTTGTAAGATGGGACGAAGGTCTTCAAGACTTGGAATACCCGGGAGTTGATCAATGTTAATGAGAATCGATTCATAGCCACGTCCCAACCCAAGTATAGCATACTCAATTTGATCTCTCCCACTGACTGGGGAATTAATTGCTGCTAAGGAATCTGCCAACACTTTAATTTCTAACAAGTATTGATCTATGGTTTGAGATTCTTTCTTCTTTATATGAGACAACAACCTTTTTAATTCAATGGATCGAGAAATACAAGCAGACATAAATCTTTTCTGAAGTCGTTCCCAAATCAGATAAGAGAACTTCAAGTCATAAACTTCCATTAAAACATCTATAGCAAGAGTAGCAAAAATCCAGGAACGCACGGTTTGATCAATTTTAAGCCAAAAAGTGTAATCAGGAGTATTAGATGAGGGTATTGGAACAGACCCATCTAATACACCCAAAAGACTGTGAGAGACTAAAAATGATTCAAACTGGGTTCTCTAAGGCAAATAATCCTCAACAGACGATAGACGAGTAGTCACAATATTACTTACGTTAGGCGTAGAAAACGCCAATTGAGATGCTAGAGATGATAAAAAACTGGATGAATTATTGAAACCTGCCAATGAATGATTCGAAGTGGATGGCAGAGGAGTAATCCCTGGGTGTCCTGAAAAGGTGGGGCCGGTGAACACGGTGGAAGAGCTGCCCACGTCTGGAAAAACTGGCGGAGGCGGAAGAGATGTGGAAGCAGGCGTCCAAGTGAAGGGTTCAGGCATATTGAACAGCCTGAATGAGTCGAGCGGGGGAATCCCTCGAAGACGCTGCGACAAAGAAGCCGGCAAGGGAGAACTGAATTGGGCTGCCTAAACTGAGGATGTCGGAAGCTCTGAGTGTTGCTGAGAGAAGCCGATGCTGCTGGAACCGGAACTGAAAGATGTGACACTGGTCAGCGCTGTAGGAAGGGATGAGAGTCCAGTCGAGGAAGGCTGCTCCGGACTGCCGGGCGCCAGAGGGGTTGCGGCCGCGGAAGTAGTTCCGCAAGCCATGGCGTGAACGAACGATTAGGAAGGAAGAGATAACATAAACGTCTGATACCATATACAAAACAATAATTTTGGAAAATAATAGCTTACCCTATTGGGTGCCTTGAGGTTATATTTATACTAAAAATGAGTTTAGGAAATTACATAGTAATCCTTATATAATTACATTATTAAGGACTACCACTGGTCAGCACCCATTTGTTCAGCCATAGGTGTATCTATCTTCTTCGGTGGCTACAGGAGATAACTCTCATTGATCATTTGATCAGCATATATGGTAAGCCACTTTGCATGTATCTCCGGCGGTTGCAAGGGATTACTCTCGTTGGTTGGCATCTGGACTCCCGCTGCAAAGAGTAAGATAGACACATGTGGAATCAAAGACTTGAGCATAAGCATCCACATAAGCACCCACGTCACCCAATAAATGGGTTACCGGTTGATTACCTCTAAAATAGAGGTTTTGATTGTTTTTTAACTCTACAAGGACTTAATTGATCGATGTTAAAGTAGGAGGACTCAATGACTTTTTGCATAAAGTATAAGGACTGATAGTTTTCCGTTAATTTAAATCTATTAATGTAAATATGGAACACTGTCGACCTTTTACTATTAATCATTACTATAGTAATCTTCCGGTCAGGTATACTTGACCGGAGCCGCTGTCCGGCCACCACATTTTGAGGATGTTTTACATCAAGTCTAGTTTATTCATGTAAAATGTCAGCTAAAAATTCAATCGGGAAGACAGTCAAATGATTTTTGGAAGATAACATGCTCAAAAAATTTCAATCTGAAAATTCTGAAGACCCTGGTGGTGGCCGGACGGCCGCTCCGATCAGATATACCTGACAGGAACGTTTGTGATCATTACTAATGCTTTTTTTTAAGCAGGGCACTCCCTCAGTCGCTCCTATTCCGCGTCCGTTCACTCTGTGGCTTCCACTCTTCCAGGAGTTCTAGAATTGCAGACTGCAGTTGCTCTCTCCCGACCGGCGCCGTCTTGTTTGCAGCTCCACCTCGCCAGTCGCCGGCGCCTCCCTGCTTGGCTGCATCCCAATTCTCCGTCAGTCCCTCGCGTATCGACTCCTCGCGTTTCAGACTTTCAGCGTTTGGAGGGTTTGAGTTTGGTAAGTTCTTTTAAAGTTAAAATCTTTTTTAATTACTTTAGTTGCTTAATTAATCTAATTATTTATTTAATTTAAAATTGAATTGATTATTTGCTTTAAAGTTTAATTACTTTTGCAAGTTTATTGATTAATTAGTTTAATTTGTTTAAGGTGTAATAGATTAATTGCTTGAATTGGTATAAAGTTGAAATTGATTTTGCAAATTTATTGATTTATTACTTTCATTGCTTTAGACCTTTAGTTGCTATAAATTTTAATTAATTAATTGCTTTAACTCTAAGAATTTAAAGTTGAAAACTTTATTAACTTGTTAGGTTACTTGTGTGATCATGTCTATTTTACAATTCGTAACACGAGACGTCGGGTCCTCTAGACGCGATAACGAAGAAGGTATAGAGAAAAGCACCCTCGTGTCGAATTTGATCCAAATGATGTTGTGGCTGATTCTGGATTATGTAAACCAATCAAAGATTATAATTCTTTTATATTTTGTAAACTTTAATAACAATTTATATTTTTGCATTTTATAATACTTTTAGCCACTCATTTATTTTCGTTATGGTTCCGCCACTATCCTCCAGTGTTTTCCATTGAAACGAAAATAAAAGGTTAAGCAGAATTTATAACCCGCATATACTGCATAAATCCATGAAAAAATCATTTCAGAACTGAAAAAATCAAGCTTTCAAAAGGTAAGCCCAAAACCGTGGACACTGAATTTATTTGTTACCTTCTCAGCAATGTTCAAAATACAAGGTTTATACCCAAATCAGAACTTAGTGAATACATACTATACTTATTAGATACTACAGTTAGTGAATCCCGTATTCCCTTACTGAGTTTGTGAATTTCGATTGTTATATTGAATTTGTCAACTCCAATTAGTTCCTTGGTGATTTTCTGTGTGCATAAGTCTCTGTTAGTTTTTTTATTACTCAGTTGACATGAACTTATGAGTTATGAGGTATCCTTTCTTGTTGAGTTATGGAAAATTATAATTCATTTACAAGAAATTCTACGGTTGAGGACTCATCAAACCAAAGTTGGCCTTAAGTTTCTCGCATGAGCCCACATATTTAAGTTAGTTGAAAAATCTGTAGCTGATCTCGCTAAAAGAAAACGTATCGCAAGAAAATGTTCTAACTTGTTTATGTGAGAACATATTGGAATACGTTTTAGTAAGTTGCCTTAAGATGCTTTATTTTGATTTTGATGTATTCTATTCAAAGTTTTGATAAATAGTTTTTTTCCATGCTTTGTGACAGGCACTTTGTCACGGTGCGTCAAAATAAATTCAATACTAGCACTAATACGTAGTATAGTGAAGTAGAGTTCGTATCCACGTGGAAAGAAATAATTCTCTTTTTTAGTAAAACTAGTAGATAAGGGGGTTTTGGGATTGAGTGATTTAATTTAATTAAATACGAAGATGAACGACTTAAATGAGATTTAATTCAAAGATAAAAAGGACTTGACATTGCTACTTTCCACTTGTTTATGTTTTAGTCGATATGATCATTGTTATATCTATAACTTATCCCTCTCGAATACTCAATCGAGGAGTATATCCAATTCATCGATGGTAGTTATTAACAACGACCGTTCATTAACAACCTTTACTATTAGTCAAGTATAGAACACCGCCATATACCGGCTTGATAGTAGCATTTAATCTTTTAACTGCTTGATGAAATCAATTGAGATTGATAACCTCAACACAACGGTTTTGGTTTAACCAACAAAATTAATCCCTCTTAAGTTTATTAACCACGACCGTGCATTAATAAACCGAAGTTACTTACTTGTGAAACCATTAACGATTAACCATCGGTTCGTTGAACGTTTCTAGTAGTAATTAATGTCGAGATGTTAATTAATTGTCATCTTAGCAACACTCTCCAACATTAATATAGAGATAGATTAAGGGAAGAATTAAAATTCAAGGAAGAAGATTAAAGATGAATAATCCTACTATAACTAATGTCAAGATGTTAACTAATTGACATCTTAGCAACACTCCCTAACATTAATATAGAGGAAGTAAATGAATACTACTATAATTAATGTTGAGATGTTATCTAATTATCATCTTAGTAACACCCCCCAACATTAATATATAGATAGATTAAGGGAATGATTAATATTCAAGGGAAGAAATTAAGAAAACAACTCACAACTTTAATAATCAACCAACTTCAAGAGCAACACCAAGAAATAGAAGTTTAGCTCTTTATAGGTGTTTTCAACACCTATGGCCGGATACCTGGCCGGGGTTTTTAGATACCCGACCGGGTATTTGTCAAAATCAAATATTTTGCCCACGATTTTGTATTTTCTGCATGTCTTTTTGTCCGGGTCACTTCATACATGACCGGGTAAAGGCTATACCCGATCGGGTAAGTCACCAAATCACATTTCTTGCATGATTTCGTGTTCCCTTGCACTTTCATTTGATCTTGTAAAATCCCTTACATGATTCTTTGTTGATTCTTGATTGATTCTTGCTCAGGATGATTCTAAATTTACTAAATTTCAACAAACTAAAAAAATAAAATGATTGCACCATAAATGTGCAATCACCACAACAATACACAGTAAAAAGTAATCAAAAGTAAAAATATAAACACCAAAAATCAATGCAATCACTTTGGTTATATATAATCCCCTCCGCATCACAAGTTCTAGATATGTCATTGGTCATGCAAGCGGCGAACCTAAATATACCGTACCAATTCCAATTAATGTACCTTTTCTTTTTTCATTGACTTGAGGTGAGGTTAGCTTCTTCAATGGGATATTGTGTGAACCATTTTGTCTCTCCGAGTATTATAGCATCAGCTCCTTTGCAACCTAGAAACGTATCTACTACATGTTTGTTGACCAAACCATCTGGCAGAAGAGGTTGTAGCAGTACTGTTACCAGTAATATGAGGCGGCCATCAATGGATGATGCAATATCTTCTTTCACTTACCGAAAATTTGCTCACTTCGCTGTGGAAGAAACTAAGAAACACACACAGTTGAGCCCTTCTCCATTACAGGTACGTCCCATTCTTACTATTTCAGCTGCTACAATCAATGTTGTTCGCTATGAAAGTTTACTGATTCCGAGTAGGTAAAATATGGAATTATGAGAAAATACTCTTTTATGTTTAAAGTTTTTGAAGTACTAGGGCTTTCAAATGATCTGATATTGCTCAGAGTTTGTGACATAAAGAATGGCTAAGGCAATTGTTCTGGAAGCAAATTAAGAATCATCCAAGTTGATTGCTCTTTGGTAGAGCAATGAATTTTGTCCAATATCACTTTCATTTTCTTTAAATTGAGGCAGGTATTTGTGCTGAGGTATATCATCCCGCAAATTAGACATTTCTTTAGAAAGAGTTGTGAGAGTTAAATCTCTATCTCTATTTGCTCTTAGGATTTGGGTTTGGACCTCATAGTAAAGTTTAGGGAAAATTACTACTACACCCTTCAGGTGAGGTCAAAATCACCAATTTAACCTTGCATTTTTAAAAATAATTATTTACCCTCAGGTTTTGGTTATTCTCTCTGTTTACAATTTCAAACAACATTAATCACATGTAATTTCATAAAAATTGTTAAATCTAATGAAAGTTTTGTAAAATATATGCCTTTAGAAGTCAAGATAATACATTATAATGATTATAACCATATTTCTTGTTCAATATTTCTTCTTTGCTAATTGCTATACTGAGCCAGATGGGTTACAAATAAGACTTTGTATTCATGATGAGAGATGCCTTGACCTTTTAGAATGTATATTTTAAAAAACCTTCTTTGATATATCTCATAAGTATTACTTGTGATTCTTCTGCCTCAACTACTCATTAATATTTGTTCCACGAGTAGCTAAGAAGAAAAGAGGACGACCAAAAACTATGACTTATAATTATGATGATGGACTGTTTTACTTTTAAAAGTGGTATTGCGAGTTTTATGTCATTTCCACCTTTAGTCAACGTCTTTCACTTGGTCCACTTTTGGTACTTGACTAATGTTTCTTGACCATTTGTTGCCCCTCTCCGGTAATTTTACTAACCGGAGTTATTTCTGGAAGGACCATATATGGGCGAAAACACAATATCCATGTACCAAAAGTGGTCAAAGTAAAAGACGTGGATCAATTGTGGAATTGGTGTGATACTCGTAGGACCAAAAGTGGAATTTATTCGTGGATATTATAGACAACCTTCATTGAATTTGAGGGTTATATGAAATTCAATTTGATAAATATTAACTCGAGGGGGGCAAACAATGAGAATAATCATAACTCAGGGGGGTAATTAATTGATTTTTTAAAATACAGGGTTGCATTAGTAATTATGACATAACCTCAAGGGGTTAAAAGTAATTTTCCCTAAAGTTATGTCTTCAAACATTTGGGTCTCTTAAATTTCTTGAATTGAGTGACTTTATCTTTTTTGTTATATTATACACAAGTTATAATTCATTACTCACTTGATATAGTGGCAATAGCTAAGTGTCTTGTGAAGATGGGTGAATTGCCAAACCTTGTAAACCTTCATGTTCTTGTTTTTTGTGCTTTTTGTTCGATTTCAGTTGTCTGGTGGTATTCGTTTGATCTTATATTATCCAGGAAAAAGTTGATTATTAAGATTGCGGTATTTGGATTTTAAACGAGAATTGAGAAAGCATGTGACTCATTCAACTAACTGGGATTTTTCCTTATTTAAACTCATACATATCCATAACAATTTTGACACCTTTTTTCTGCTTTTCTTTGTTTTGTGTTTGTGCCTTAGTGGAGTAGGCCTGAATTAGTTGGAAGTCAAGTTTGCTTATGTGTACAATAAAATGATCAATATGTAAACTAGAGTTGGTATGAAAGAGAATTGCTGATTGAGTACCGAATCTTATGTTAAGTACATTTTATTAGCAACACCGTGCCAGAACAAGTATGTACTAATTTCTATTCAGGAGAAGTTTGCTTACTTGTCTTCAATGGATGGGAAAGCGGAGCTCCAGATGCACTCTTTTGAGTCACCTAAGATTAGACTACTCCGAAGTTTATCCATTGAAGGTAGTGACGGAGTGCAGGTTCGTTTCAGACTATGTTAATTAGCGTCTTGATCTTTAGTAGACACTTCACACTTCTCTATTGCTCTTGTTTATATAGAATTTCCCCTTCATTTAGTTACTTGATGTTATTGCTTTTGCTGAGTTTAGAATTACCCACACCGCCTGACTAGATGATCATCTTATCCAGGTCTTGGATTTTGCTATCTTTCCCCGAGCAGAGATCGATCTTCCAATTTTTTGTGCCAACTTTTTTACCACATCAGTCATTAATATCATTTTATTGTAAGCTGCCTCTGCCTATTTCAACACTTCATGAGCACAAGTGCACAACTGCACAACTGCATTACCCTTGGGGCCTGCCTTTTTAGTCCCCCACACACCTCCCCTCACACTGTGCGTGTGCAATGGAAAACTTGAAAAGAGAATCTCCCCTTTTTATTTTTGTGAACAAAAATGAATTTGTATTTAAAATGCTTTCTTTGATAGTTGCATTTGCTAGTAAAAGCAACTTGATTTCCTCTTTTAAAAAATTTGTGCAAATACTATATACGATAGTATATAGTTTTAATTGTACGACCATTTTTTGTACAACACTTGTGTAGCCTTCACACAGAGAATATCTCATTGTGTGATTTCATGTATGTGAGAAAAAAAGTATTGTCCGTGCGAAGGTGGTGCTTTTTATTCTATTTTGTTCTAAATTATTTGTGTGAATAAAAAATCTTGTCTGCGTGAAGGCTGTGTCTGTGTTGTACCAAGTGGTTCTACAAAAAGCATTTTTTTGTTGACACAATCTTATAATACTACATTTTTTTGCTCACTATGCTCTCAACGTTTTTCAGGGACCTCAATCCATTACACGATGTCATCAGTCAACAGGATTACAAGAGAAAATATTATACGCACTTAATTCCTCTTGGACATGAGTATGCTGAGGTTAGCAAAACTTTTGGAATCTGGTCATGCTTGAAAATGGTCTGGGTATAATTTATTTTTGTACCATCTAAAGTGTCATGTCCTGGCATTTAACACAGATTTCATGCAGCTTTTACCATGGGGAGGAAAGATTACTTCTGAATCTTTAAAATTTTTCTCACCCATTGTTATATGGACCAAGTTTCCTCCAAGCCAGCAGAAACACGATTTTTTATATTCTGCTTTCATGGACTATCTCAAGGTACGTATTATTCCAGGCATAGTATGCTGGATTGCACATATATAGGTTTAGCATTTTCATTTAGGGTGTAAAACTGTAAATCTACGGGGTAAATCTTAGACTTAACTTCAACCTTTTTAACTTTTCATCATCGCTTTTATAGTCATGGCTTCAGCTGATGGACCAGGCATCAATGGACACTGACGTTTCTCAGGTTATAGTTAATCTTGAAGCACAACATCGGTATCTCACATGGAGGGCAGAAAAGGCAGGTTTACACAGTCCGTACATGTCTGACCATGAATAGTGTCTGACATGGACTAAATATAAAACCAAAACCAAAAACTTGGGTTATTCCTCAAGTTCTAATATTTATTTCAAAAAATTGACAAAGCTACATTATGGATGAAAGACATTAGTCTTGGTGCATACTTTTAATTAAACTAGAACCTTGAACAGCTCTATTTATTTTCATCTATGAAAGTTTGTGTGATCAAAATGAGAACATTTCAGGATCCTGGCCATCAAGTTCTGAGAAGATTAACTGGGGAGACACTTGCAAAGGTATCAATGTAATCTGATGGCTAATGATCACTAATTAAGTACTGTATCCTCCTTCCCTTGGCAACACTTAAATTGGTGGTATTTAGTCTACGTTTTGACTATTGTGTATATACAGGAAATAGTTCGGAGTTTTCTTTTTAATGGAGTTGATGAACTGAGTAGCAAAACGTTCATCGACTACTTCCCAGAGTACAAATGCGATGACGGGACTGTAAATCAGAAGCGTAGTATGATTGGGAAATCATTCGAAAGCCGCCCGTGGGATGCAAGAGGGGAATTCATTGGTAATACATTATTAAAGTAGAAAGCGTGTTCGGCTGCTTCCATAATTTTTTCTTTCTACCCCCCTGTGCTCTTTTTTCTCTGTAAGAGATAACTGTTCAATTTATTTAAGCATTTCCAGATGGAAACTATTATCCCACAATGTATTGTAATCAGCTAGCATAGACGTTGTTGTAAACATGTAATCTTAATATGATAAAAATTGTACTTCGTACTACATAGTTAATTGTCTATGAAGAGGTTCACGTTTTCTCATTATATGAATGTATAATTTGACATGAAAATGAAGCATTAATAACATATTCGATTTATAAATTGAATTACCCCTAGCGAGGGAAACATAACGCTAGTTATATGCTATTTTAAATGCTATTTACATTGTTAATATGCACTTAAACATTTTCATGAGAAACACATTTAGAGTTTTTAAAGGGCAAATGAAAATGATGAAAGTGATATTAAATGACACGGCAACCTTTTTTTGATAAAAAAAATGACACGATAAATAATACGGAGTAATACAGAAATAACGATTAGGAGTATGACTAAAAACAAATAAGATCTCAATACTAGGGCCTAGGGATGGACCCGGGCCGGTTCCGGTTCGGGCCTGGGCCCGGCCGGGCTTTTGTTTGGGAAGTAGGGAACCGGAACCGGCCCGGGTAGCCGGCGGTTCCGGGCCGGGCCGGTTTGTTGTTCAAGTTATTTTTCTTATTTTGTTATGTTTTTCTAAATTACCCCCGACCCCCCCTTAACCCCCCACCCCCCAAACCCCCCCAAAACACTCAGCCCTACCCGGTAGAAACAAAAAAAAAAAATTGAAAAAAAAAAAAAATTGGCCCGAACCGGCCGGGCCGGTTCACCATTTTCAAGGCCCGAGCCCGCACCGGGAACTGACAGGTTCCAGTTGGCCCGAACCGGCTCCAAGACCGGGTACCGGGCCGGGCCGCCCGGCCCGAGTCCACCTCTACTAGGGCCTAATGGTAATTCATAGGGTGAGGAAGTTAGAAATTTCTATCCTCCAATTTATGAGAATTTGGGAGTGGAAATTAATGCTACTCCCTTTATCGAGTTTTTACCATTTTTGGTCTCCGGCTATTATATCAATGCCACTTTTGGTACTCGACTTCTAATTTTTCCATTTTTAGTCTTCGACTATTGTGCTAGAGACACTTTTAGTCCCAGACTTCAATGTTTTCCACATTTAGTCTCCGAGTATTGTGAATTGTGAAATTGACACTTTTAGTCCTCTCATTATGGTTTTGACACAATAAATTGAGGACTTGAAATGTCACTATTATAATAGTTGAAGGACCAAAAGCGTCACTTTTATGAATGTTGAAGGATTAAATATGGAAATATTCAAAGGCGGGTACCGAAAGTGTCTCTAGAGCAATAATCAAGGACTAAACATGGAAAAAATCAAAGTCATGTACCAAAAGTGTCAATGACATAATAGTCGGAGGACTAAAAGTGGAAAAAACTCCCCTTTATCTATTTTTTCTCACCTCTATTATTGGAGGTTTGGAACAATCATGGGCCGAAACTTGCAACCCGGCCCATTTCAATTAATTTATTGGTGGGTTAGGGTTGCTATTTTCAGACCCCGACTAATACATAAGTTTCGCAAGTCAACCCAAGCTGAGTGTAAGTTAAGTGAGTTGGCTCACATGGGTTGTGGGTTAGCACGTAGGACAAAATACAAATGTATAGTTTTGACATCCATCATCTTGAATGCTGTTTTTTTACTACCAAATTATTAAAATTCCTATTTACAATCAAACACTTATCACTTTACAATCATTGCAAAATAATTAATATTCCTATAATATCTATTCAAATAAATTCTTCAAACATACGAAGTAGGAAGTATATTTTATCTAAAGTTGAATATGTATTTTGTGCAATTAGTAGTCATGATTTGGAGTGGACTCAATCCCGATCTCTGAACCACATGATTTTGAAATGGAATTGGGGCCGGAAAACAAGGTCCCTTCCGGGACCGAATGGTGCGAAAGAGGTCCCGGTCTCGAGCCTCCATTTTTTTGAGACCAAACCGGTTCTACATAACTTTTTGTTTTTGTTTTTTGTTTTGCTATTAAACTATTGCAAAATGTTTCATTAGGGTTGATGATCCATTTAGAAAGTTTAAATATGTGTAGATAGGGTGGAGAGGACAATAGAGGGCTTAAAAGTATATACGAAGTATTAATAAAAGCCTGATGATGGATGAGAACCGTGACCGGACCAAAACTAGCCGAGAATCGGAAATAGAGGTCTCGGTCCCTAACCTCCTCCGCATATTGATCTAGGATCGAATCCATACCTAGTCATGATTTATAATTATTTACTCAAAAAGTCCGCAAGTACAAATGCACAATGAGTATTTCTGTGATCATTAGTATTTAATATTCTTTAATTAAATTCAACAAATATTGGATGATTGGTATTTTGTTTTTTTAGTATTTACCAAATACTAAATTTTTAGTATTAAATTCAACAAATATTCAACAAATATTTCCTTTCTTAGTATTTACCAATACAAATATATATATTTCACATTAATTATTTTTAAGAAAATTTGTCATGTACTACATACATAGAGAGTATATTTTTTACATTGGCATACGGACCGTGTCGTTTAGCACATGGGTTAATTGTGGGCTAGCCCACTATTAAACAAATTGACTCAATTCAATCCGTGAACAGAATAGCCTGCCACGAATCAGGTCAGGCCTGTTTAACAACTCAATCTATTATCCTGGATACTCCCAAATTGAAACCAAGCACACCTCATGTATTTTTCATCCAATTACGAAACGACATGGTTTTAAACATTTTATCGAGAAAAAATAAGGAAAGTAACAATGGTCCAGTGTCCCCGAAGATTGGGGGTGGGCATATTGGTTTGGTTTAACCAAACCGAACCGTACCAAATCGAACCAAAACCGAACCTTATGCAATTTGGTTTGAGTTGATACTATTTCTTTCAAACCGTATTAAACCGAACCGAAACTGATAAAAACCGAACAAAACCGAACCGAACTAAAGAGATTTAAAAAACTTCATATATTATTAAAAATTAACAAATCCAAACCGAACTGAACCGAAAAATAGCACTCCCTCCGTCTCATTTAAATGTTCCCGTCCACTATTCACATGGTCAACTTAAACCATTCTTAATCTCTTACTTTATATGTCAAACTTACATTTTTTTATCAGGCTTTGTAGCGGTTTTAATGTAGTTTCTGAATATGTAAATTTTATTTATTAAAAATAATCAGAGTGTGAGCATGAATTAAGTTGCTTTATCGTCAGTCAAGTAAAGCGCAATTGGAACCCCCTAATGGAACGGAGGGAGTGTAGTGTTTGTTTGATAATAATTCTTTCAACCCATTTCAAACGGAATGGAACCAAAAAGGATAAAAATCAAACAGAAAACCAATATGCCCCACCCTACTGAAGATCATGAACAACTGGGTCCAGTAATCAAACAATAGCTTAAGCGAATGTAATCGAGGAACGACTTCTTTTTCTATCTTCCTCTCTAATCTTTCAGTCTTCCGTGACTTCTCTTGAATTGCTTTTGAACAGCAGAGCGTACCAGCGAACGATCAAGCGGCGGGAGTGAGGCAGGTGACTAACGGCAGTTCTGTTTTTCCAGGCGGCGGCCACCAGGCGCTTCGTCCATAGTATCTTGAAGCAGCACAGGTTTAACTCAAAGCTGAACTGAAATTATTGTCTGCTATGAACTCATCGGGTGTTTCTATTAAAACGAAAATAAATGTTAATTAGAAATTAATAAGCCTTATCTTGAATTGATTTAACGAACAATTCATATCTACCGAAAAAACTAAGCTTTAAAAGCTACCTACTCAGTAATTCGGCTGAGAAATGTATTTTAAGGGACCTGGAGCTTGCACAAATTATATTGGGGCCAAAGCTCGACATTTTAAGATTTTTTCTAGATACAAAGTATGTGTGCATATATTTAAACAATTTTTCCTTGGGGGCAAGGCTCCTTCTCCCCCCCCCCCGTCTCCCCCACGGCCAGTAATTTTCAGAATAAAAAGTTTATAGTTCAAAAGAGATATTTGTGAATTAATAGTATGCTTGCTAATATCTTTACTTTGTGAGTTTCTATTTATGAAGTTGAGTTTGTGAATATTAATTCGTTCCTAAGTGAATCATATTTGGATAAGATTTCCTTAATTTTTTCTACTATTTTCATTATTTTATTGATACGAATTTATGAAATATCTTTTCTTGTTACTCACAAAAAATCACTATTCATATAATCATATAAAGAAAATGTATGCTTGAAACTTGAAAGTTCGTCTAATCAAACAAAGTTTTCCTCAAGGTTTCAACATGCATCCTCATGCTGAAATTAATTTAAAAAATCTCGAAGTTGATCCAGGTAATAGAAAAAGTAGCAAGAGAAAATGTTTTCTGTATACCGAATAAGGCTATCTTACAACGGTTTCAATATATGAAAGTGCTTAGTGCTACTTTTTCCCAAGTTGCCTTAGATATTTTATTTTGATTTTGATGTTCTTATATTCAATTTGGTGAGGTATTGACCTGCTGTCACATGCTTATCAAATTAATGGAATTGCTTTTGTTTTGATCAATAATTTTTCCCATGCTTTTGTCACGGCTACCCCTGAACCTGGAAATACTGTACCAATTCCAAATAATTTACCTTTTATCTTACCCCAGGTGAAGTTAGCTTCCTCAATGGGATATTGTGTGAACCATTTCGTGTCACTGAGTATTATAGCTTCAGCTCCTTTGCAACCTAGAAACACGTGTGCCTTTTTTTTTACCAAACCATCTGGCAGAAAAACTTGCAGCAGTAATGTTACCGGTAAAATGAGGCAACCATCAATGGCTGAAGGAATCTCTGCTTCTACTTACAAAAGATTTGCTCGCTTTGCTTTGGAAGAAACCAGGAAACAAACCCAATTGAGCCCTTCTCTGTTACAGGTACTAGCTCTGACCTTATTATCTCAGCAGTTATAATCAATGAATGTTGCTTTCTATGGAAGTTTACTGATTCCGAGTAGGTAAGACATGTAATGACAAGAATGAGCTCTTTCCTGTTTAGCCTTTTTAGGCTCTGTTTGCAATCTCTGTTGATAAGTGCTTTTGGCTTTTTTTAAAAGAAAAAAGCACTTATTTTACCAAACACTACCAACTTTTACTATCTCGGTTTTCGTGTAGAATCTACTTTTTACTTTTTCTATTACACAAAAAGCACTTATTTTATCAAACACTACCAACTTTTACTACTAATCACTTTTTCCCAAAAAGTGCTTTTATTTAAGCACAAGTGGTTGCAAACAAAGCCTTAAAATATTAGGGCTTTCAAAAATCAAAATATCTTACTTTACACTGAATATGTGACTTAAAAGAATGATATAGGTAAGTTGTTGAAAACAAACCAAGAATCATTCATATTGAAGAAAGTAAGAAACTCTCTTGGTCTTTCATGGTACAATTATTTTGGCAAATGCCTTTTTCATTTCTATAAATGGAAGCATTTGTGTTGAGTCCTAGCTCCCAAAAATTAGGCAAAATATTTTTGAAAGAAAAATTTGAGAGAACTGACTTTCTTTCTCTATTTGTTCTTAAGGTTTGGGTTTGGAGTAAAGTTCCATCCCTTGAAACACTTGGTCTGTTTTTTTGTTAAATTGAGAGGAATTTCTTTTATTTGTGTTATTATACACAAATTATACGGAGTGATTCATCACTCTATTGATAGTGGATAATCTGGAGATTGTTGACTGTCTTGTGGAGGTAAACCTTAGTGTTCTTTTTTTGTACTTTTTTGTTCAATTTCATTTTTCAGGTGATTTTTTCTTTGGTCTAATGGTCCAAGGTAGTTGGGTTTTAAATGAAATCTTTTGTGTCTCATCCAACCGCATAAGGATTTTTTTTTTCAATTATAGACTTTTTCCAAAAATGCTTGTATATTTGTTGTAATCACATACTGAAATGTGTGTGAAATTGAGTATGCTCATATTGAAACACATGTCAATATGTACTAAATTTTATGCAGGATACATTTGGTTGCTCGGTTGCTTATCTGCCATTGAGTCACCTTAGATTAGACTGCTCCAGTATTTATCCATTGAGGGGAGTGATGGAGTGCAGGTTTGTTTATAATAACTCTCCTAAGCAGTGGCACATCTAGAATTTTTTCTGGGGGGGGGGGGATTTACTCTACAGTCTATAAACTTAGTTTAAGTTAGGGAAAGTTCTCGAAATAGGGCTAAAACAATTTGAAAATTCCAAAATGGGACTGACATGTTTTTTATTCCCAAAATAGGAGTAATTACTGCCAAGTTTGGGAAATACTGCCACGTTTGAAGTTTGGTACTGCCAAAACATGACAATAATTAGTCCTATTTTGGGAATAAAAACGTGGCAGTCCTATTTTGGAATTTTCAAACCTTTTTAGTCCTATTTTGGGTAATATTCTCTTTAAGCTATAAATGTACAAGTATGTATAAAAAGAAGATCAATTTATATTTTGTGTGTACAAAGATGCAATTGTAGATAAATTTTTTTAAAACTTCCCTAAATAGAAGTTAAACATAGCAAATTTTCTCAAATAGGAGTATCGATCATTGTTTTCTACACAAAATAGGGTTCATGCACTCCTATTTACGTAATTTTATCCTTTTATTCTTTTAGTAGGATTACATAATCCTATATTTTTTGAAGAAAACACACTTATCGTATTTTAGAATTTCCCTATGTTCTACTCATATTTTGAGCAACTTTTTATTAAATTATACTACATAGGTTATAGATATAGGGATTGGGTTGGGATTGAGGGGGGAAGCTGCCCCCACTCCCCCCACCCTATATACGCCCCTGCTCCCTAGTACTTTAATAATGTTAGTACCAGGAGGAGATGAAGATGACTAACAACTGCAAATGTTGAAATATTTGGAAGCTAGCCTCTTCATCTTTGGTAGACTTATATATAATTCCATCCAGAAAAGTTTTAGAAATTTTCTCACATTTATTTACTCGATATTATTGTTTTGGTTGAGTTTTTTTTACCTTACCGGATTATCCGTATTTCAAAACAAATACGATATATTATCATTGTTGATATGTTTCATAATGAATTAACTCTTCTTTATCAATTTTACTATCTCACTGTATTAAGAGAGGTGCTAAAGAGTCCTTTCCCCTCGCCCACCCCCCAAAATGTTTACTCCACATTCCTTATCCATTTTTGGATTTTGCACTTTCCCTGAGCTGAGTTTGATCTTTCAATCTTCTGTCCGCACATTTTCTCCATATAGCTTTATTGTAAGCCACCGTCTCCCTCATTTTACCATTCCTGATGAACACTAGAGCTGCATTAGCCTTGGGACTCGCTTGTTAACCTCTTTAGGAGTCCTACTATAGGTGTGTACTGAAAAGACAATATCGTTTTTTTGTGAACTAAAATGAATGTATAAAGTGCTTTCTTTATATATAATATAGTATATATTTTCTATTGTTTATCCTATCTTTTCAAAATTTTAGTGACGATAATTTTTGTTGACATAATTTTGTTTTACCCATTTTTGCTTGTTGATTATGGTTGTCTACAAAAACAACAAGAAAGCAGTATCTTTAACCTTTTCATCACCATCTTCGTTTTACCAATATTCTTCAGAACGCCCTGTAATTTTCACTAAATTCTCACCAAGTCCTGGGACTTCAACTTCCTTACTGAGGAAACCACTGTCATGTTCCAAATCTTCTTCTGAAGAAGCAGAGATCTCTGGAAAGGAAGAAGGGTGGCTGCAGAGGCTGCCAGAGAAGCAGAAGGCTCTCTATGCTCACAGCTTGCCCTGCATAGAGGCCTGGCTTGGGAGTTTAGGGTTTTACCAGAGCAAAGAAGACAGAGCTGTTTGGTTTGTGGAAAATCCTGATTGGCACGCTCAGTTATCTCTTGATATTACGGACCTATACATAAGGTTAGTCTATTGTAATATACTGCTACCGATTGGGTTTTGTATAAAGTACCATTGGTTGGAGTCACACGGGGGAGACAAAAACACTAGCTTTTATTTGGTTGAAGGGAGAAAGTGAGTGAGATGAGATTAGAAGGAAATGGAGTTACGGAACCACTATTTTCATCTCTCCAAACAAAGATCTTTCGTTCCCCTCCTGTATCTTTCCCTTATTTCTCTCATATTTCCCCTTTACCAAGCAAAGACTACATGAGTAAAAGCAGGGCCGTCTAATGAGTTTGGAGGCCCCGGTTCCAACGGCGAATTGAAGCCCTCCAAAACAATAAAGAATAACATATATATTTAACAATGAAATACAAAAAGGCTAGATAGTTAAATGAATTATAAGTTTTATAATGTTTAAAATACACAAATTAAACAATCTTAAAGGTAATATTACAATCACTGATTAAGTTTCACATGAACATGGTTGTCCTCCTAGCAATTTTCGAAACAAAATCATCAATCAAGTCTTTATATTCTATCTTCTCAAGAACTTCATTCTCAATTTGATATCATTGCCAAACATTGAGTCTTTGTTGTGACATAATATACGCATTTTAGAATATAAACTAATACACAATATATAGAAAAATCAACCTATAACTAATATTACATACTAAATATTTGGAGGCCTCTATAAACGTGGACCCTGGTGCGAAGCACCCATTGCACCTCTTAAAAGACGGTCTTGAGTAAAAGGTGATCAAAGCTGAAAATTCTTTGACCTTTACCATGGTTTTACTAAGAATCTCATACTTTTAGTTCCTTTATGAAAGGTACCTTAAGAGTGGACCGGGAGGGCTAGAGAAAGATGTGGAGAGAAGATTCAGCTATGCACTCAGTAGGGAAGACATTGAGAATGCCATCCTTGGTGGCCCATAAGGAACACCTGTCTAGGCTTAATACAAAAGGAAGAGAAAAGCAACAATACCTCTCTAGGCACATATATTGCAACAGAGATGTTTACCTCCAACATGTAGTGAAATTTTTTTCTTACTGCCTGCCATGCATGCCCTGATAAATCAATGGTGGGTAGTACCAACTACCAACCAACCTACCAAAAGTACTTTGGGGGCCGTAAACGGATGGTGGACTACTCGTGTTTGGACTCGTTTAGCGTTTGTATGTGACTTGTTTTAGAGCTTGATTGTTAAGTGAACAAGGGTTGGACAATGAGAAGCTCGTTTGATTTAGGCTCATGAACAACTCGATCAAAGTGTGGTCATGAACACATTCTGTTGTAGTTCATATAAGGGTGTAGTGGTGTACACGAAAAGTTCCGATAAGTGATCATAGTTTTGTATCTTTCTTTATAAACTGTGAGTCATGGTTTACTTGTTTTAACGATGTGAAAATAAAGTTAAACGGACTCGTTTTCGAATGATGAACCTATAGACATGAGCACATACGTAATATAAGTTTAAAGTTGACTTGGCTAGGTTCGATTGTTTGAAGTGAATTTCAAACAACTACTCTCTATATTTACAGCAAACTATCTTTAATAATAGGGAAATTTTCTAGGATATGACTAAAACTCATTGAGTTTCTCAATCTATGAGCTAACTAGTTCTTAGACTTTAGTTAATTGAAAATCCAAAAAAAAAAAATGCGTTTATATTTAAAGGTGGAATGACAAAAATACCTTTATTTAAAATATGTGAATTTTACACTTATTTCGTTCAATTAAAATTACTGCACTTTATATTGCAATTACTGCATGACTTTAATGCACGACTTTACTGTACATCCGGTAATAATCACTGCACTTCCGCCAAAATTAATTCTTTTCTAATTCACTTGAAGAATTTATTTTTTATTTTCATTTTTTTTAGATTTAATAGTGTTATTATTTTATGTCAATTATGTATATGGCGTTTTATAATGATATCACTGCTTTGTGTTACTGCAATACGGGTTATAATCACTACACAACAAATTTCTCAATGCATTCATTCACTGTCATGTATAAAATGTCTATTATCTTATATATTTAATGCCCATACACAAGACTTATTGAAATGTTCATTGCCGATGTTCAATGTCCATATTTAATGTCGACAAATCATAATCCATACCCAAAATCCCTAATTTCACAAATACAAAAAAGAAGTTAAAAGTTCAAAAAAAGTTGCAACCGTAGATGAACAAAACCATGTCATGTCATGGTCCACTAAAGAAAATCCTCAGCCACATAAAAGAATCTTGGGCATTCGATCCAAATTAAATTGAGAGGACAGATACATTAATGTCCACATGAATAGGACTCCTTACGCCTCTACGAGCCTTCCTCTTCGATCGGTAGAGTCCTTGATGGTACAACACGGAACGGCGGCGGCAAGAATATCTATGGACCACGGCTGGGCGGTGGTGTCGATCTAGGCAGTAGCTGTGGCGAGCAAGTCTGGTGCTGGGGGTAGGGGTGGACCGGTTCCGGTTCGGGCCCGGCCGGTTCGCGGTTCTGTTTTGTTGGGCCCGAACCGGTAGCCACCGGTTCCGGGTCGGGCCGGGCCCAGCCACCCGGTTTGTAATTTTTTTTGGCTTCTCCTATTTAACCCCCAACCCACCCCCTCACCCCCAAACCACCTCAAATGGCCCAAAATACCCATCCCAACCCAAAAACTTAAAAAAAAATTCAGGGAAAAAAAAAAATTAAATTCGGCCCGGACCGGGCTCGAACCGGCCGGGCCGGTTCACCAAATGGAGGGCCTGAGCCCGGAACCGAAGCCCACCGGGCCGGGTGGCCCGGACGGGCACTAACTGGTTCACCGGGCCGGTCCGGGCCCGCACAGTAGCGGGCCGGTCCGGTTCCGGGCCGGTTGGCCCGGCCCGAGTCCATCCCTAGCTGGGGGTGGTCGGGCAAGCAAGCGCCTTGATGCACCAGTGTCGGCGATTGTGATTCTGGATGGCAGCAAACCGTGGAGCGGTGGCGGAAGGGGGCTGGCGACTGGTGGCTGCGGGGGGGGGGGGGGGGGTGCGGCGGGCGCAGGAGGGGTGTATCTGTGGAGGCGGAAGACTGAAATGCTAGGGTTGGAATAATGAGTAGGAGTTTAGGGTTTTATAGATATAATCTAAAGGGTATATTTGTCTACCAAAATTATTTATTTATTTAATTATTCCGAATTTTAATTAAATATAATTAATTTTAATATTATTTTGGTAAAAAATTAGTTAGGTCTTAGATTGAGAAAGTGAAGAAATTTTAGTCATACTTAGGATAATTATTATTATCTCTTAATAATACGTAGAACTTAACTTGGTTTGTAATCCTTCATTTATAGCCTGTTCGGTAACATGTATTTTTAACTTATCAACCTTTTCAGTAATTTTTTATTTTATTTTATGTGCTGAATTGTGTAATAATCAGAATAAGTAAATTGTAGTTACTTTTCTAACTGAATTAACTGAAATTACTAATGAGAATTATTTAAGTTATTTTTTCATATAACTTTTCTTTAATGTTATAAATAAAATATATTTTAAATATAATTTTTCATAATTTAGCAGACAAACTCAATCAATTCAATTAGAATTTTATCAATTTCAACAATTCAAACTGTTCAGTCATTAGTCTTACCAAACGGGGTTTTAAACACTTATGGTTTGTAGTTAGCAACAACATATTATATGTGAGTTACAGACTAGCAGTGGTTTGAAAAGAAATTAACATGTTCAATTTGGTCATTTGACAAAACAAAAGAAAACAGTTTGGTACAGGCAAAACAAAATTTGGTACAGGCAAAATATTCCTCACCACTTATCATTTGTTTGTAGCTTCTTCAATTCTTCTTGTTTTTTTGTTTTTCTTTTTTCGGCTTCTCTTTTTTCCCTTTTAATTTTGAAACTTATATTTCTCTAATTTTAACTTTTTCATTTTTCTGCTTTCATTTATCGTTTTTCTTTTCCTTTAATTTTGAACTTTAATTTTTCTAACTTATCTTTTTTTTTTTTGCTTTTGTTTTTTCTTTTTATATATGACTTTTGTCTCTACTCTTCTAATTTTGAACTCTTGTTTCTTTTTTATTTTTACGTAAATTTTCTACAAGAATTCTTTCATGCAATTCTTTCAAAAATTCATATCGAATGGCAATTCAATTAAAACGTATACTCCTCTCCAACCCTTTAAATATTATGAGTATATTATTTAAGTAAATGTGAACTTAATTTAAAGAATCGGCTGGTCTGAAATAAATAATTAGTGTTTCTTTATGTTATACTCATATGAGCAAACACAGATTGATATTTGAGCATACAAGAAATTTTAATGGCGTAAGTTATCTATACTCATTTGATAATGACGTAATACTCATTCTAAAATGAGCATTAAATCACATTTTTAAATGTCATATCCATGCATATTGGTGTAATGTTCATTTTAATTTTTTCGATTCTTATTTAATAGGTCATGCATACACAGTTGTTAATAACGAATCTACTAGATGTACATATTATATAAAGTAGTTTATTTTATATTCGAATGAGTATAACAATTAAAAGAAAAGCATGCACGATTGAATTCAAGTGAGATTTTGAATTTTTTGATGTTCGTTTGTAAGTTATGTATGCTCATCTGATATTGATTTTATACTCATTTTAAAATGTTTTATCAATAAAAAAATACAGAAATATACAATTATATATTGTGATTGATTCTTAATTCAAAGAGGGAATGTACAAAGTGTTGAATAGTATATTGTTACGTATGTTAAATTAAACAAAAAACTTGAAAGGAATGAGCAAATTAAACAAAAATGTATACTTGAGCACACTATATAAAAATGTAGTGTACTCAATTGATGGCGACTAATACTTCGACGACAGGCGCTTCTTCTTTCCAATTCATCTGCTTAATTTGAATCCTTTTAAATTTAAAGAAATCCTTTCCGCCAACTAAAAAAAGAATTTTTTGATACACATTTTATAAGTTATGTATCCTCATTTATTAATGATAAATGCTCATTTGAAAATGTCATATTAAAGCATATTTCAAAAGTATCATATTATATTAGACTCACATAGGATTTGATCATATACACGAGAGAACAAATCATTTTACTCAATTGCATGATTTGAATATTCAATAGAGGATGTTTGATGCTCAATGCTCATTTGTACGTTACATATGCTCATTTGGTACTCATGTGCTCATTTTTAAAATGTCATAACAATGCATATTTCAAAAGTACCATACCACATTAGATTCGCATATTGAAATTCATAGGAATTGATTATAGATAAAATTTAATGAGATTTCATAAAAGAAAAAATAAGAAAAAGAAAGTGAATTACAATATATGAAGTTGATATCACAATACTCATTATTTGACTCTTAATGTCCAGTAGAATACGTCTGTTGTTCATTAAGAGTGTATTAATGTTCATATAACAAAAATCGCGATTGTCACTGAAATTACGAAAATGACACCGTTTCACTGTCATTCCACCATTATTAGACGCTTAATACTCATTAAAGTTGGATTATTGCTCATTACAAGTACACTAATGCTCATTTAGCTGAAACCACGATTTTCACATTAATTACAAAAATGCTACGGAATTCTTTTGCTATTTTTCCCTTGGGCCTATTACTGGGCCGGCTGTACGGTGCTCACCGTACAGCCGGATGTACCATATACGCACTCCGAAGTATATGCTATGCTTAAATTGTAGAAATATTTACTTTTGTAATTAAGGATGTTTTTACTTGAACCGTTTTTAACTCGAGATTAGATGAGATCAGATCATACTAGATTTGAACAGTTATAGAATAAATATAGACCAAACATCTATCAGACCAAATCAAATCAAAATTTCTAATTAAATTAAAAACATCAGCTCATGTTCTATGTTTGATTCGGTGCCCAACATAATTTCGACACAATCTTATACTTGCAATTTTAAGAAGATGATATTCTTATATTTTCTTAATAATTGGTTAGTGTGATTTTGTTAATTAAATTTAACAAAAACTGAAATTATGCTAAAACTTAACCCCGATATCTTTAATTACGGGATCAAATTTGACTTCAATAGTTGTAAAAATATACTATGTATATAATAGACATTTACTAAACTAGATCATATCATACTTAAACAAATTGATCAACACTAGACTAAACCAGACCTGTTCAGACCAAAACAAGAACTAAATAGACTAGATCAGATCAGAAAATTTTTGTTCAACACAAGACTAAAACTAGACGTGTTCATTACCAAACATAGTAACTACGTAGTTACTATATTTATATCTGGGCTCCAGAAGTGTTCGTTTGCTGTATTTGGGACGGGTGTAGTTGTTAAGCGTGTGGCGATGGAGGACATGAGGAGTATGTGAACCAGGAGGTCCTGGGCCATATACTCCATCATGAATGATAGAGATTTTTTTTTGACAATTCTTTCTAACCT